TTTTTTAAATGATATTATAATCTTCTGAACAACAGGAACAGACAGCAAAACAAACGTGACCCTTCCCTATGCTATCCAAAACTAAAAAAATGTTTTTTGGGCTGGAGTTCACTTAAAAAAATTTACCTGTTCCAGCTTACATACCAATTGTACAAACCTACAGTCCCTATCTTGTATATAACCCGGGGACTGCCTGTATACCTAACCCTTCACTTCAAGGAGAAGCTTGGATAGACAAGATATGTCCAGCAAAAAAAAAAAAAGGATCGACCAATATACAGACAGAGGTGAAGTAGAACCCCCTAAAACTCTTCACAATAGGTCCATAATAAGAAGGATATTACCTCGCATATAACTCAATCTCAGAGACATGCATGGTTGTGATGGTTGCTGATTTTCCTATCATCAGATAATCCAAATGGAAGGAAAAGTGACCCTTAAACTAGGGAAAATAAAAGGACATTAACCCAGAATTCTTTTAAGGAGAAGACAAAAAAGGGTGTAGGCAGGAGTGAAGGTATACTGTAATGCAAACCGGTGTACAAAGACCAGAAGGAGGGGTAGGATTCCTTTCAACTCACACTTATAGGTGTTTCAGGGGTGATAGCAACCTTGTAAACCTGTCTGACCTATGATGAAGCATATATGATGCTAGGATTCATAAAACCTAGCCCTGTAAGGGGCAACATCCTTTGTAGAAGAGCTAGGGGTAAAAATCCTAGAACTACTGTAACACTAGCAATGTTAGCTAGATAGAGGATCAGAAGAGGAAGGAAAGTAAAGAGACTTCCTCTGAAGACTGCAGACACTATATCTTTCAGCAAACAGGCAATGGTTGCACAGCAACAAGCAGTGTCCTGACTGCTGACCATCCAGGGAAGTACACAACATATTAGTGATGGATACTTGCTTGCTCATGCAGGATCAATATTCTTCAAGCTGGGGGAAATTAGATGCAAGGATCTTTGGTCCAATAACTGGACTCCAGGAAAAAAAACAGTGGGGGGAATTTGTCAAAACTGGGGCAGACCAAATCTGGAGTAGTTGTGCATGGCAACCAATCAACTTCTCTCTTCAGTTTGTTCAGTTAAGATTTGAAAATTAAAGAGAGAAGCTGATTGGTTGCCTTTCATAGCTTTTCCAGATTTTGTCTGCTCCACTTTTGATAAATTCCCCTCAGTGTGGTTATGAATGACACACTATCCAGCATAAGGAATAGATCACCAGGTCAGATACAAGGGAAGTTCTCAAATTTTTACAGAGGTGAGATCTTTTGTAACCTACAGCTGAGGTCCAAAGGTCAGATTAAAACACTGAAAAACAAAGGGATCCCACATTGACTTGGGAAACTGTCTGTTCCAAAGAACCAGACACAAATAGTAGGCAAGCAGACATATCCAGTTAGTAGAATCCTTCAAAAATAGAGGAAAGGCATAATCCTTACCCTGCGCAGAATAGTGGGACTTCTTGGTCCGAAGGACCAGCTTGGTGCCTTTCCAAAATCCAGAGTATCTAACTCAGAAGCTGAAATTAAAAAAAGATAGGAGGGACAGCAAAAGAAGATGGATCATGCTAAATAAAATTCCCCAATAAATCCATGAACCCCAAAGAGGTAAGGGACAAGGGCCACAACGAGTTTAGATGATGGACCCTCAGCTTAGCAGAAGTGTGAACAACTTCTTCATTAAAGGTCTCCAGAGTATTCCACAATGGGGGGCAGGAAAAAAAGAAGGTATGGTGGATATAGAGGGTCAGAGCCATGGGTAGGGTCTAGAACAGTGATGTCAAACCATTTTGAGCCCGAGTGCCCAAACTGGATAATTAAACCAACTTATGTGTCTCAAAGTGCCAACCCTGCAATAAGACCTGAATACTGATAATTTATTTCAGAAAACACTTCATACGATTGTCTGAACTAATATATAGTGCTTAAATCTTAGAAGAAAAATACAATACAAGAGGTTTTAACTACACTACAGAGTGACATGTACCCGTGTACTGTGCTAATGAGTAAAGTGCTCCATTGCAGTGTGCTACTAAGGTACATGTCACGCAGCACACTGCAAGGGAACCGTCCCTCTACAGCAGGGGTCTCAAATAGAGCTGCAGCTAACGATTATTTTCAAAATCGATTAGTTAGCCGATTATTACGTTCGATTAATCGGTTAATCGGATAAACAATAGAACACATATTAAACCTTCCCCCTTCCTCCCAAGCCCCCAGAGCACATAATAAACTTCCCCCCTTCCTCCCAAGCCCCAAGAGCACATAATAAACTTCCCTCCTTCCTTCCAAGCCCCCAGATTAAACTTCCCTCCTCCCTCCCAAGCCCCCAGCACAAATAATACACTCCTCCCCCCTACCTCCTTTCCTTCCAAGCCCCCTCAACCTTCTTGCATCCATGCAGGGAGGAGGCACATCATCATTCCCTGGTGATCTAGTGGTGATTAGTAAGGTCTAGTGCTGACCTTACTAATCATCCCTGATTCGGCTGACAGAGCTCCGGGTGGAGCTGACATGAGCAGCTCTGCGGTCTGCATCCGACAGAGATGCAGACCGTGTAGCTGCTCCCGCAGCTCCCGACTTGTCAGCTGGCTGCGGGCCACATATTACCGGCTCGCGGGCCGGTACTTTGAGACCCCTGCTCTACAGCTTGGAGTCAGTGGTGGAGCACCAGGGCCCAGTTGCAGCTGTGACCCTGGTAGTTCTGCTCCAACCTGTAGAAGAACTAATCTCAGCAATACATTATATAACAATGCAGAATACCGCCAATTATAGAGGACCACAAATCCCAACAATACATTATACAGCAATGCAGAATACCATCAACTATAGAAGACAACAAATCCCGGCAATATATTATACAGCAATGCAGAATAATACCATCAGCTATAGAAGACTGGAAATCCCAGCAATACATTATACACCAATGCAGAATAATATAAGCTACATACTGTGTAGGCCTTCAGGGGCGCTGTGCAGTTCTCAGATGAGCTGTGCAACTCTCAGGTGGCTGTGCGTCTCTCAAGGGGGCCTTGCGGCTCTGGGGGGGCTTCGGGTTTGGGGGGCTTTTGCAGCTCTCGGGGGTGTGCGGTCAGACAAAATGGAGCAGACAAAATCTGGAGCAGCTGTGCACGGCAACCAATCCGCTTCTCTCAAGGTGGTGCAGATTTAAAAATGAAAGAGAGAAGCGGATTGGTTACCGTGTGCAGCTGCTCCAGATTTTCTTGCTTTGATAAATTCCTTTCATTATTGTGCCTGAAAAGAAGCTGATGTACTTTTTCGAGCAACAGGCATCAAGCAATAAGCAATACAATACTCTGATGTGAATCAGCACCACTGAAAAAAATGGGATTCTTCTTGTTGAGCTTTGTGGTGTGTAGGGAAACACACAAAATGATCAGGTGTGAATGGGGCCTCACTCAGCAGAGGATGTGTCAGACCACTATAGAAAGAATTTACTTGCTCTCACACAGAAGCGTTTCTCTGCAGCCTTATTCACACTAATGTGTGAAGGCTTGTTCACACCAAATCCGGACCAGATCTGCACGAGTTTCTGCACATGAAGTGCAGTGTGTTTTGCCACGTAACGGGATGTTTTTTTTAGCCTAAAATGGGCTTTTAGTGCGGTCCAGGGCGTTTGCATGCATTTTTGATGCGTTTGCATGCATGTTGTTTCGTTCCAGAGCAGAAAAAATAGGGCATGCTGCAGTTTCTCCACATGCTCCGGAACTGAACGCTGTGGTGTGAACTAGAGCCGGAAATACCATTGAAATACACTGAATGCATTTTTGATGCGTTCTATAACTGCTCTGCATCTGCGCCGCACTTGGTGTGAACTAGACCTAAAACAGAGATGGGGAACGTCCGTCCCATGGGATCGTTTGGTCTGGCCCTACAAGCCAGCTCCCCTAGTATGACGCCGCAGACTGGAAGGGGTGATCCGCCCCTTCCTGCCTACAGCCTCCGACACATGGCACTTCCCACACATTACACAACCCGGACTTCAGGAAGCGTCAGGTGCAGCACTGAACGAGAGGAAGGCAGACCAATTGGCTTCCGGCTACATGCGGGATAAGCAGCCAGACAGGGCTATGCAGATAGTGTCTGGAGAAGTGCGCATGTGCTTGTTCTAGCTCAGTGCGGTCGCAGGAGGGTGCGGTGCTCATCGCTGAATGTGATCAGAACATGAAGGGGTATACAGTGTGACCACAGAGAAGTAGTTCCAGCCATCACATTAGGGGTAAGTTAATTAAATGTTTGACCAAATATAGCAGGCTAATTTTGAATGATGTTATAAATATCCAAATGGCCCTTGACAGAAAAAAGGTTTCCCCTCCCTGGAGTGGTGTAAAGCATTCACGACTTTTCCAATCACACTGCGACACACGGTATTGCAAGACCACTGGTTGTGACAAGGTCAATCGTATTGCGGGTGGAAGGTGTGTTTGACGTGCCATTCAAATGAATGATGACGCAATGCAACTCCCGCACTGTTAAACACACGGTAGGGCCCTTTTTACACCATATCACACATAAAAACCTGACAAAATTACATGCATGTTTTTATGTATGTTAGCATGCAATTAATTACATGCATTTTAATGTCATCTATTGTTAAGCGTTTTTCAGTCATATTTCCTGGAAGGTGCAAATAATTAGCCATTTGGTTTCTTTCCTTCAGTTGCTGTGTTCCACATACATGCAGCAGTACAACAGAACTGACTGCAACACACGTCAACAGGGCTGACATTGTTTTCTATATGGCCTTGCAGTGACCTGCATTAACTTGGTGCAGAAAATGCAGGTCACTGCAAGTGGTGAGAACAAGCCCTTTTTTTTTTTTAAATCTGTATAGGCAGCAGGTGGCTGTCTCAAGCAACTTCTGTGTGGACGCTGCAGCCCTTAAAACAGCTTTAACATGACGTTTATATAACTGATGCAAGTATTAGCCTCTGGCACTGTTTTACAGAAAGTAAAGCTCCCATCACCTACTCACCATTTTGGAAAAATCTCTGCTATAGAAGGATGAGATCAATCCCCTGTAATTCACAGGGCTTGTGAGGCAGGCCGTACTTCTAATAAACAGGAAGCTGCACATGGCTGATCCACCTCCCCGTGCAATGATAATATAATACCAGGGTACACTGCTCAGCTAGCTCTGGCTTTCAATACTGCAAACAAGTACTACATTCACAGCTCCCGGGGATCCTTCATGTGACTTTCATTCACAGACGTAATGTACACAAGGAGGAGCTAAGATATCATGGGAGGTGAAGAGCCTCTGTGACAGCAGGAAGTACAACGTACATCTACAGCAGTTCATCTCTCTGTTCGTGCAAATGGACATACCTCCCAAGATGAGAAAGAAAAAGCAGAAAGTATGGAGGCAAAGGACACATCCCTACCAAGACCCCATTTTGCAGACCATAAATAATTAATATGCAAAAAAGTAAATTTTTCTTCCACAAAATATTAAAAAGTACTTTTTTTTAATAGAGGTTTGTATATCAGACCAAAAAGAGGTGCAGTTGAGGAGGAAAGGGGGATTTGGTTCCAAACGAGGGACATTTGGAAGCTATGCACATCGTTATTATAACTAATAATATTTTTAACCTTATTTAGGTTTATTGAGGTAATGAATGGAAGTAGCATAGAGACATTCAGATTTTCTTCCAAACACGGCATAATACATAAAATCAGACAAGCAATACAAAAAGTAACAGAAAGGAAATGTTATACAATTTTGAAGAAGCTGCAAAACTTTCCATTGACACAGTGGCGGACCTAAGGATCAAGGGGCCCTGGTGCAAGATTTTTTCTAGGGCCCCGGGTCTCACTGAATCCCCAAACCATAACCCCCCCCCAGGCGGTCTCTGCACCACAGGAGCTTACACTCTAATGCCCCTGCATAATCACACAATTTTTTACACAATTATATAGCTCTGACATATACCATAGTGCTGTACAGAGAACACTGAGCCAGTCACATCAGTCTCTGTACAGAGGAGCTTACATTCTAATGCTGAATGACACTGGCTGTAGAGGGACTGCAAATCCTGTATGGGAATGAATAGCTAGATTGCTATTGGCTATTTCAATTTGCTTATTGTTCTAGATTGCAAAGTAAGCCTTTCCGGGATAAGTAGTTCTGCTGTTGTCTGTTTTAGGCTATGGATGTCCTAAAGATAGGCAGGTTTCGGTGATTCTGGTGCTGCTGTGTGGTTGGTCATGAAGGTGATTCCATGTGCAGCAGAGAGGGTACAGGCAGCTCTGTCCCCACCACATTAGTAGTGGAGCTTAGGCCAGGTTTACACCGTTTTCCGGACCATATCTGGAACAAGGTTCATTGCAATTTGCCCCATTTATAGGGCCCTTTCACACCACATCCAGATCATCACCAGACCAGATTGTTTCAGGACCTAAAATGCATCCTAATGTATCCCTATGCTACTTCTGGCCTCTGTTCACACCAGCGCAGTCTGTTCCAGACCAGACCAGAAAAATACTGCATGCATCATTTTGTCTGATCTTGAATGCACTGGAACGCATGGAAACTCATCAAAAACATGCTAACGCAGTGGAACGCACCTGAAAGCCCATTTTAAACTAAAAAACTGCTCTGGATCGTGGAAAAATTGCTGAAAAACGCAATGCACTGCATTCCAGATCTGGTCCGGAACAATAAGACCTCAGAGATATGCAATGCCAAACTCAGAGGAACAAACTAATGCTAGATAATGTGATAACTTATATGAAGTATTATACCATCTATTCAGTAATTTTCTGAGATATCTCCCAATGGTTAGTGCCCTGATATCCTGTGTTAGGTTGGCTCATATCCTTTGCAGGGTCCTATGGAGCCACCCTGGTTTGTGTGCCAGTAAGCTGTGTGTGTCTTCACAAACACACAGACACAGTCAAGGTAGCCCCCCCTTTTTCCAAGCTAATAGATGGACAGCTGCTGAAGACTCCTCTTTCTCTTGTGATATTGACCTGGACAGGAAGTTCAGGGAAGCAGATATGAAAGAGTTGGAGGCAGCTGTTCAGAAACATTATGACAAAGTGCTTAGGCAAAAATGTAAACAGATATACATTGCTGCTGGTCTACATGTTTAGATATAAGTAATGAAAAATAACTAAATACTAGGGCTGGTAATTATTTAAATTTTCCTGTTCGATCAATCGAAATCTTTTTTAATCGATTAATTTTGATTAATTATAACGCACATACAGATCCAACTACATTGGCCTATACACATACAGCACAGCAATGAAGTAATAACATGAACTAGGATCACACTAATCCAGCACGTTATTAATCTCACGTGCCCCACTCAATATGGCCGCCGCTTGAGTGGGGCAACTCAGAATAATAACGTGCTGGATTAGTATGATCCTAGTTCATTTTATTACTTCATTGCTGTGCTGTATGTGTATAGGCCAATGCCAGGGATCCCAACCTGAAATAAGCAATTTCAGGGAGGTGTCCCTCTCATTTCAGGGAGGCGCCCTGTCACCCCCCCATCCGCGGAGGGGGGGTTAGGGGGGCTGGGAGAGAGCACCCACCTGAAATGATGGCAGATAGCACAGGAAACAATAGCTTCTTTGCTATCTGCAGATTTTTTTTTATTTTTTTTAGTATTCTGCCAGTTGCAGTCGTCAGAATTAAAAAAAACCCTGCATACGATTGCATAGCTAGATTTCTATTGGCTATTTCACTTTGCAATCGCCTATAGCAAATTAGCTATTGCACCCGCTCCCTGCTGCTTTCAATCACCCGAAGAGTCACTTGGGGAAGGGGGGAGGAGTCCGGTGACGTTGAGGTCCGTGACGTCACCGGATCTCCGACGGAAGACCCGGAAGCCGGCGGAGAGGTGAGTACGGATCAAAAGAACTTTGATCGATCAAAATAATTTTGATCGATCAAAAAAATTAACGATTAATCGAGGGATTAATCGTTAATTTCCGCAGCCCTACTAAATACATTATAAATAACTAGATCAGAAAGGGAACTTTTATACACCTTTTACATTTAAATTTAGCCATACACATTTATATTTCACGCATTCAGCCTCACTGGGCTGAATGAGAAAAATCACTTGATTCTCCTATGCACACTTAGCAGGAATCTCCCCTGCCAACTTTGTATTCAGACAGCTGCCACCCATGGCTGCCTGAACACCCAAACATTGATTGTATCTGGCACTGCCCCTCATCCATTCAGAATGCTGGATGGAGCAGCAGAGAAAATCTGGAGCAGCTGCGCATGGCAACCAATCAACTTCTCTATTTCATTTTCAAATCTTAACTAAACAAACTGAAGAGAGCAGCTGATTGGTTGACATGGGTAACTGCTCCAGATTTTCTCTGCTCCGCTTTTGATCTATGTTTTAACAGCATAGGGAAATAGCTTTGGCTATTTCAGGCTCTACGTGGCCCTGCCAGGGTGTGTGTGTGTTGTTTCTTTCTTTTCATTTTTATTAAAGTTGGAGTTCTTTACTTGCACAGTTTGTACCTCCTTTCCCTATTTCTCATCTCAAAGGTAGGGTGTAGTGGCTGCATATAAAGTAAATCCCCCCACTTCTGAACAGTAGCTGCCAACTTTTAGAGGGTAAGTTTAGATCAGTGTTAGGCCAGGGGCTGGAGCCCTGGTGCTCAACCTGCAGCGTATGGCCCTTTGGCACCTACTTTGCAGCCCTAAGGGACCAGCATGTGGACATGCTGATAGAAACATCATCTGCGTACTTACAGTATTTCTTGTCAGTGCCTCAAAAAGTACTGATGCCATTGAACTGAATGTGGGACAGGCAACTAGCAGGAAAGGTCAGCAGTGAATATCTTCCTACCTTAGTGAGGATAAGTGAGCGATTTAAAAAAAAAAAAAAACGATTCTGGGAGAGACAGCTTACTTAATGTTATATACTCCTTTAGGCTAGGTTCACACCTAATCACTAGGGTGTGTTGTGGAAAAACACTTGCATTAACACTGCATGTATTCTGTATAACACAGTATTAGCAGCACTGTGGTTTCTGTACTCGTACAGCTCATTTTAATGTTTTACCATCAATAGCTTGTAGTCCATCAAAAAGAATCTCAAATTGTAAATCTTCACAAGTAATGCATTGTACTGAAAATACTACATATATGCTTTAGTCAATTGACCTTGTCTTGCCATTTTCTCTAACGCAGGCAAACTGAGCTGTGCTAAATGTAGTTAAGAAGGGGGACAGGAAGTGTGGCAGAGAGAATTCCCTGTGGGAGCATTAAAATAGGAGCCAGGAGGAAGTTTTAATTCCACTGTACTTGGCGGCCGTGTAGTTACTTTAGGAGCACGGACCAATACCTGCAACTCATGGCTTCTTGTTGTATTACAGGTACATCATCTTCCTATGCATAGTAAGTCGTCATGCATTATTCCCTGCTGAATTCAGTGCCTTGGGCCTCTCAGGGAGTGGGGCTATTATCCCAACACTATTATTTATGAATCTATTGCTTACACTCCCCTCCCTAGACCTCTTCTTCTCTTGCTCTCTGCTCTTATTTCCTCTCTGCTTTTCCTTCTCACCTATACTCTTACCCTTCTCTTTAATCTACATGAATTCTTCAGTGATCTCCTCTAGATTGCTTATATGATCAAGTTTGGGTCGAACCATGGTACGACCCCATGCTTTTTGCTTACACACAAAGGTTGTTTTCTACAGTTACTGAAGCTACTATATGACCTTAATGTTTTCTTAGTCACAGTTGAGCTTGAATGTTGTAAACTTTATATCCAACTTTTATTTAACTTTTATCCAACATCACTTTTTGGTGGAACGACCCCGTTGCTGAACAACAGTGTTTTTGTTAATATCAAGCTTTTCATTGCAGGCCATAGAAGGCCAGTGATGCTGGATATGGAGAAGTGATTTCAAAGACCCCCATTGATAGACTGTGCAGGGATATGCCACGCGTACCAATCTTTTTGACCTGATATACCCAAGCGGAAGATGTTTGTGACTGATATAAATAGCCTGTTTTCATTGGAAGTTGGAAATTTAGCACACTTTTCACAAATGTCACTTAAAAACTTTATTAAGTCTAGTTATGTTTGTGCTAGGTGCTTGACACTTTCCATATAGAGACTGACTGAGAAGCAGAGAAATTGAGAATAACTAATCAAGCTGTTTGGGCGTATTTCATATGCCCAAACATTAAAAGGGTCAATCTCACTTTTACGGGACTGAGAATGTGCCAGGCCCCCTGCTTCTCTTAGGAGCCCAGGGTGACAACAAACAGCACCAGGATGGCAAGTGGGAAGAAAGTGAGGAACATCTGTGAGGAACATTGGGGAAATGTTCTCTGCAGAAAACACCTAGCTCAGCATTTGCAAGTTCAGCGCTGTCAAAATCCCAGCTGAAAAGCTGTTAAAACAGTCTGTGCTGGATTGCCTAAAGCAGAAAGCAGGGACACAGGGACAATATTAGGGGTCTAATAGACCCCTGATGCCTCCATAAAGAGTACCTGTCGCCTGCCCAGTGCTATCACGTAAGGGCTTGTTATCACATTTGTGATAACAAAAAAAGGTATTGGGGGGGGGGGAGTGTTAAAAACATTTAAAACGCACACACACAAAAAAGGTAAAAGTAACCCCACCACCCCGCACATACACATATGATCGCAAACACGTACATATAGTAAATTACAATTGCACAACACATATTGGGGTGAATTTATCAAAACTGGAGCAGACAGAATCTGGAGCAGCCGTCCATGGCAACCAATCAGTTTCTGATTTGAAAATGAAAGAGGGAAGCTGATTGGTTGCCACGCACAGCTGCTCCAGATTTTGTCTGCTCCAGTTTAATAAATTCCCCTCATTGTTTTTTGGCCTGCACACTGGAGTGGGAAAATTTTAGGGTTATTATTTACAGTTATCTCTTAACTGATGAGCTGGGCATTTAAATCATCGCCCATTGATGTATTTTGGGTACCATCATGTTTCAAAGACACACACATGATCACGTATTCATTATGCAAGTGTCAGCATGCATGGCTAGCTTTACTGTCCCTACTGAATTGTTTCACTTTGACATTATGAGGACATCAACATAAGATTTCAGGGATGGGGAGGAATTATGGAGATCCAACAACTGAAGTCTAGGATGTAAAGTATCTGGCAACATATCATTTACCAAACATCGGTTCTGGGTGGACTGAGCTTGTAGACAGACGTAAACTAATCATTAAATTGTCTTTTTCAAAGATTAATGACAACCTAAATTCTGGAAAAAATAATATTTTTTTATTCCATGTTTTATTTCATTTGTTAAATATTATCTCCATAAGAGATATTTGCTGATAAAATATAGACATCAGTTTCCACTTTCAGGCAAGTAACCATTCAACAGGAAAATAATTTAACAGTCTTGCGGTACAATTCAGCCATTTGTAGGTTCTGAAAACATTGGGGATGATTTGCTACTTGAATCAAGCATGTTCACTATGAAACGTGTCTGTTCACTTAGGTTGTTGAATAAGGTGAAGATCTGTTTTTCAAATCAATTCATGGGCAGGCAAACATCCTGTATTTTGTATTTTTTTTTTTATTTCCCTTTTACACATGATTGAGTATTCAAAGTGAGCAAAACATCCTCTTATTTATCAAATGAACATGCACTTTGCTAATTGAACTGCCTATACATCTTTAGTAAATCAACCCTATAGACTCAAAAAGATGTTTAGCAACTGGCAAGGCCTTCAACTGTCATGTACACCTGTACATGGACACCTGACCCAGCAATGTAGAGTTTAACCAAGTTTTAAGCTTCTGATAAATTCACTCCTGGTGTTCGTGTTCTTGGCCAGGTACAAGCCAACGAATTCTGTCTGTCTGCATGGTGGCATAGATTACAAAAGCCGTCACATAGAGAACAGAAAACACTAGAAGCCAGTCAATTCCTGTTTGGGGAGTGCAGGGCAATGGTCCTTCATAGTCTGCTTCTGTTACCGTGACATCAGGCTTTGCTTCAATTCCTGATTTAAAAGGAAACACAGCTCAGATTAGGCATAATATCCTGGTAACTATCAAACATTTTAATGCGAATTGTCCTAGTGTGCTCACACATGTGCATTCAACTGAGACTACTTGCGTGGAAATGCAGGCCTAAAGATGAAATATCTGAGTTTCATTACCTATGTGTCAGCTAGTTGCAAATATAACGTCAGATAAACTAGATGTGTTGAAATCCAGACTGACCTAAGGTAAAGCATTAGAGATAATAGACATTAATAAGGTTAACATTTTAGTGTATATTTTATATTCCAGCTACTTTGTGCTTTCTGGCTCAGCTCCATGCTCACTGAACAGGTGTGATAATGCTGATTGATTGACCAATGAGAAGAATGGATCCAGAAAAGTGACACAGGAAGCTGCATTGCTCAAACAGAAAATAAAGGCATCACTTGTCTGCATGTTCAGTGCAGCAGAGATTTGTTAAAAACTAAGAGTAGTTAACCTGAACTGCAAATGCTTTGGAAGGTAAAACAAACATAAAAGTATTTTAACTCTGTGTATTTAGCTGTATGTTCAGAGATCATTTTGACACGGTAAAAAGATCAGGAATAACTTTTTAAAAAGCAGCAAGTATACTTACCTTTTGTCTTGCAGTGCTCTGTGAACAAGGTAAAGTGTGTGTGTGTGTGTGTGTAATTAGGGATGCACCAAAATATTTGGGCCAAAATGCAGATAGTACGATAACGGCCAAAATGTGGGCGAAAATTCAGCGCATGCACTCGCTTAGCCTACTGTGACAGGTGAGCCAGGATGGAGAGTGGGTCACAATCGCTCAGCGATCAGAAGTGATCACTGAGTGTTTGTTTATAACTGAGGACCTAGTATGCTTACTATGTACCCAGTTATGAATGAACAGGAAGTGGTCTTCCTGCTCATTCATGATTGTGTCCTCAATCTCTTTTGATAGGGAAATATCAGGACTCTTTTTAGACCCCTGATACTTCCCCAAAGCCCCTAACAGTGAAGTAAAAAAATAAGTAACTATATTTTAAAAAATATTTAAAACATTTTTTAAAAAAAAGTCATTTTCAGTTTTGGCCTGACAACATTCTTATTTCCAGTTTCAAAATGTCATTTTGGTGTGTGTATATATACATTTGCGGAATCAGTAGTTGTATACCTGACTGGTTGAATATAAAAGCCTTGAAAGGCTCCAGTGTTCGTTCTGTGTGATTAAACCTCGCCATTGGTTTAGCACCTTGAAACAGCAGCATATTTGGAACAGCAACAGTACCAAACCTAGTGGACAGACTATAAAAAAATGCAGTTTAGAAGACAACTTGGATAAAAAAATGGATATAAAAACACAATAACCAGGAGCCGAATATAGTACACAATAATGCCCTTTGAACTTTTTAAACTTATTTTGCCTCATGAGATTGTGAATTAAAAAGTGTGTAAAGTATGTAAAGCCTAACATTGAACTTATCTTAATTTCTTTCTCTTGGTAAACAATTGAAAGTGTTGTAAAGAAAAAAAAACTTTGATCCTGCCAGTAATCCAGTGCACTCTGCAGTTACCAGCCCTGCTCAGTTCACTTCTATGAACTACAAAACCCCTATTATGTTAGATGAGGATGGGGTATTCGCTAGCTCTAACACACCTCCTGCCCTAGGGTGACAAAGCCGCTTCTGAATAGATACAGTACATGAGTGAGCGTTTCCACCCCAGGACAGGTGTATTACTGGCAAGATCACCAGGTGAAAATAAAGGGGGGAAAAAAGGCCTGAAATTAGCTACAGTCATGTGAACAAGAAAGTACGCCCTCTTTGAATCCTATGGTTTTAAGTATTAAGAACATAATCAAAATGATCTGCTCCTTGGCAGGTCCTGGTCCAGGGTAAACATGCGTATTCGAGTAGAAACGACCAAACAATTCCTTGGATCAAACCGGAATCGATGTCTCCCGCTCCCTGTGACTCGACCTCAGTACGTGCCCAGCCCTTTCCGACGCGTTTCGTCCTAATCCGAGGAATTGTTTGGTCGTTTCTACTCGAATCCGCTTGTTTATCCTGGATATTTTGTAAGTGTTTTTACCATTTTTTAATGAACTGAATTTTACATACTTCACTAATGGAGTGTTATTTCCCCATGAACGGCACTGACCAAAGGAATACGGGAAGGAGGTACATGAAGGACTATTCCACCTAAAGATTAGAAGATCGCTCTCCGCCTCTGCGTGCATAGATCATTTCCCCGCCCCAAGGGCCTATGTTTTCGGAAAATATATAATTGTTTGGGGTGTGAAGCTGTTGTCTAGTCAAAAATTCAGATTTTTTTCATGTGTGTGTGTGCACATATTAATAAATTGATCTGGACAGCAAGTGGTGAAAAAGAGCTAGACCCTCTGCCAAGTTTTCATAGCTGTATGGCTCTCTGTTGAAGTCACGCTACCTGCTGGTCACCATTGTCACGGAGACAGAACGTAAGGGAAAATTCCACATTTTAGGGTCATCATGAGAAAAGGGTTAAGGAAAATCTTCCAATGGGGACAAATGTATAAAAATAGGAATTACACTTACTTTGATAAGATTTTTTTCTCACACCTGTGAGAAAAAAATTGCATTTCCAAAACAGGAAGTGAAGGGAATGCTCCCCAGCACAGGGATAGGCAACCTTGGCAATCAAGCCAGGGTGAACCTCTAACGCCCATTATGCCTATACCTCTGAGAATAATGTCTGTGGCTGTCAGTCTTGCGATACCTTATTGGACTTGTAGTTCGGCAACAGCTAGAGTGCCAAGGTTGCCTACCCCAACAGTACTCGGGCAATAGGCGAGTGCAATAGCCAGCCTGCTATTGCAATTTGTAGTAGCCAATAACAGGCTGGCCACTGCCTACTGTGTTTACATTTAGACTGTGGAAGTGGAAAGAGACCTTAAAGAGAACCTGTCGCCTCCAATGTGCTATCACATCAGGGGCTTGTGAGCCCCTGATGTGATAGCAATGAAGTTAAAAAAAAAAAATTAAAAAAACCCCCAAAAAATAAATTTAAAGTCCCCCAACCCCACGAATACTAACGGAAACACAAGTCGGGTTCACCTATGTACGAAATCGACGATTGTGCTACACGTCAGGTATCGCTGCGTGCACCAGAGTTAGAGCAATAATTCTCAGTCCAATATTCTTGGCAAACTCTAAACTGATGATTATTGGTCGGAGTTTTTCAATTCACATTTTAAATCCATGAAACTAATTACAATGTCTAATATACAATTATAAAAAAAAAAAAAAATCTAAAAAGTGGGTAAAAAGTAATTTTTCGTTTTAGCCTGACAAATTCAAAAAATGTCCATCCAGTTTTATTCTGAAGTAAACTTTGTTTGTAACACTCCAATTTTGTATTTTATTTTGAATAAAAATTTTACTTTTCTTTGTTTAACCGATAAATGGGTTGATCAAAAAAATAAAATCGGCCAACTAATCGATCATGAAACTAATTGTTAGTTGCAGCCCTAATACACAATAACACTGCAAACTAATTTTTGTGCACTAGGCATTGTTAGGATCATCTTGATGCGCTATGCATGGCATAGCCATAAAGATGCACCATCATACTGGAGAACTGTTGTAATAAACTTAAAACATGTTTCATTCATACGCCGTACCTGCTGTGTTGAGAAGCATCCAGTGCCAAAAAATGCAACGTTGGGAATGCTCTAGGTAAAGCATTAAAATGAGGCGCCAAAGCAGCAGAAAAGAGGCACCATGGAGTGAAAAACAAGACCATGGTGCATTCACTGCTGTTGGGATTAAGCAACTCCATAAGGTCCTATAAAACACAAAATAAAATCAATGATCAAAATATAAATTCATATTTTGTGCGTATGCACAAATAAACCTTCACTTTCCCATAGGGGGCAGCCCACCCAGCCCTACATAGAATAGAAGCACCTGTTCACAAATGTATTGCATGCAACAATAAGTAATAATATTAGAATATATTTTGAAGATGCCCCATAGTTGCTTACATTCCTCTTAATTAAGAAGCTCTCTAATGCACACGTAAGAGCTGGAAGGCAAAGGGTGTTTACAGCATGAAATCGGACAGATTGTCAGACCTCAGGGGACTTCTTGGTCATTGACTTTTAGATACAGGGTCATCCTCTGATTAAGTAAAGCCCGATAAGGGAGAAAATATCAATCTTTTATACTGTAAGGAAGCCTGCTCATTTTTAATATAATAATGCATACTGCCGCCATAGCTACTACGGCTTAAAGAATGGTCATGGTTAAGATAGCACCCATGAGCTTGTTTTTACTTTCTGTTGTAGAACTGATCTGGGAAGATGAAAAGCCCTTTTGTGATTTGATTAAATGTAAAGAGACCTGGTCACCTGCTGATTCAGGGCAAAGCTGCAGTGTCTGTGTAAGGCCTCCCCAAGCCACTGGCGCTCACTTTACCAGCACTCCCAAGCACTTCATTCCCCATGTCATGTTACAATGCTCAGGCCCAGTGATTGGTTGCTTAACCAAAGCACTGTCACATGAGAGGAAGTCACATGCTCCTACATACCTGGAAGCTCTGGGTATTTTCGCAGGCTAAGGCAGTGAAAGGAGCACAAGCGAAGCGCTGGTAAAGTAAGTATCAATGGGTTGGGGAGGCCCTTTAGTACAAACAATGGATCTAAACCCAAGAGAGAAATTGTTTTTATATATTTCAGCTTACAAATCCTTAGTTGCTGTGGCTTTATTAGTTGACTTTTTTCCAGGCTTGTTTTACTATATGTTCACTTGCTGCTCATGACAGTAACACACTTCATGTCCAGTGAGTGAGACAATCCTCACTCACTGTACTGTATCTATGGAGGAGCAGTGAGTGATACTAGGCCACTCTCCTGATTGGACTACAAATATCCCCTCCCCAGCCTCATCTCCATACCAAGGTGTTCTGTAAGTCACAGAAGAGAACTGTGAATAACATTCATAACATGAATAAGACTGTTTATAGATTTAGAAAATGTAAATTCCGCCCTCCCCCAACACATGCACCTGGTATGCACAGGTATACATAAACGCTGATTGCACAACACATTTTAGGTATCCCCACGCAAGCCAGAGCAATCATTTTAAGGCCTCGTTCACAGCAGACACAGTGCATTCCGATCAGTCTGGATGTTGCAACACTTCTTAAAACTCAACCTTTGAAAAACAGAGCTCATGATATTTCCTCCCGCCCGTGCACCTTCCCCCAACTTTTTCCTTCAGATTGTTAACACAACTATCCAGCCCTCCCCCCATGCCAAGGTCTTAGGTGTCATCCTTGACTCAGACCTCACCTTTCTTCCCCACATCCAATCACTATCCAAATCCTGCCGCCTTCACCATCGTAACATCCCTTAAGACTCGTCTTCTCAGGGAAGCCTATCCCACCTCAACCTAACCACTGAACAATCACTTTCTCCAACAATCATCCCCGCACAGCTATTGATTGTAATGTCTTCCTTATATTGTAAAGCGCTGTCCAAACAATTGGCGCTATATAAATCCTGTATATGAATAATAATTCCAGCCGGAAAGCACTGCATCGCGGTCCGGTCCGCACAAAATAGTGCTTCCAGCATTTTCTTCAGGCCGGACCACAGGCATTGATGTGCCGATCGTATTGCGGCCGGAGGGCGTAGCTACGATGCCATTCACTTTAATGGACTACCATGCCCCCTCCTGCCCCACAACAAAGTGAGCCGGCCGCAATGTGATGCAGTGCGTTCCAGCCAGAATTGGGCCGGAGCACACTGTGTCTGGTGTGAACGAGGCCTGAGGCCATTATTTATGGTTGACTCTAAACCAGTGGTTCTCAACCTGTATAACCTCAGGACCCACATTTGTCCTTGGTCATTTAGTCGCGACCCAAGTCGCACTGCAATGGACTGCACGGCATTGCGGTACAGCGCATGCCAGTGCAGGCGATTGAACTGTGGGCGGGAGGTGCATTTGGGGTACCATTCAAATGAATGGCAATGCAGCATACCTCCCCACACCAGAGCGCGTAGATGTGATTGAGTGGTACAGTGCGTTACTCTGGTCCAGGCACCTCTACAGGACACATGAGGGAGCTGTAAGCAATGCCCGTATTGATTGAGCTCCCTCGTTACCATAGCCCCATCCTATCACACTTCAAGCTGACATTCGACCCTGGGCAGCATATTCTGAATGGCTGGCGTGAGAACTGACAGTACTGCGCTAGGGGGGAGGCTGAGAAGCCTCTCGCCTAGAAAAGTGGAAGGCACGTGGTGACCCACTGAACATGGGGTCGCGACCCACAAGTTGAGAACCAAGGCTCTAAACCAATGAGCTGTAGACTTTTTTTTTTTTTTAAAGAATTGTCTACTGACAATCGTGGGCATCAGTTTTTTACAATTTTATGGGCACACACAATTTTGAGACTTAATATGTTTGGTATTTATTGACTAGACAGTCTAATAATTTTTATCTAAAAGGATAATTTGAAGAATTTATCGTGTTTGTGTATACAAGAATTAATTTTAGTGATTTTTCTTTTACTAAAAAATATACATTTCCTAAACATTTGCGCAAGTCTATAAATTAAAGCTGAACTCCAAGAAAAAAATATTTTTGGACAATTGCTATTGAAAATAAATATTCTCTAATTATGGGTGTCCTGTGTGTGGATGTTCCTGTGTTAGGCAAAACTATATTTATTAAACACGGACAAGCTGCTATACTTCCAGCTCTGAAAACGTACAGTTTGAGTACAGTGATGACAATGGGCCGCTCGTTCTCCACCTCTTCCATTCACAAAAGATCTTGTATCCTTTTCATTGAAAAAAGGCATTCTGTGAAAGGACAAGGGGAGGAGCAGATGAATGCCACAATCTCCACCTCGTCAATTTACTAAATGCCTTCCTTTCATCCACGAGATGGCGTTTCTGTACTGAGGTTTCTGTGATGGATGAAAGTAGTCAATTTTATCTAACACAGCAGCATCCACACATGGGACAACCATGGACAGAGATGATCGAATCTTGAAAAATGTCACAAATGTCATATCAAACCACAGACATCATCAACATCTGATGAAGCTCCCCTGGTCTGGCCATTTGCAGGAAGTAGAAGTCACAATTTTATGTCTATGGGACATCCTTGGTGCAGCTCAATAACACTGAGGCTGATAAAATCACAGGCTCTATGATACTGAGCTCTCCTTCATACCCCCCAGAAAAGTGGTGCTAAACCTTTATCGAATTTCCACCAATCAGTCCAATGTAAAAGACACCAGGCAAGGAGCTAACAAACCAGCACTAGAACTTGTTAGATTGACTGGCTGTTTGGCTCAGAGAATTAGCCATACCTGTGAAGCATTGAGGACCTGCAAAGTAAAATTGTCCATTCCAGTGATATTGCGCTCCACGCAGTTTACTTTTAGAGGTTTATTTCCGTCTGTACTGTTCGAGTCATCTGTTTTTATCTGTTTTGTATTTGATGCATCTGATTCAGTATTTTGCATTTTTGTTTTCATTTGGGCATCTGAAGTGCTATCTGGACATTCATTGGTGCTGCACTCTCCTTCAGCTTTCTGGCTTTCAGCATCAGATGTTTCCATGACAACTTTGTTCTTCCAATCCTTTGGCACCATAGAAAACAGCACTGCTGGGTCCGTTTGAATGTCTGAACTCTGCATCGCATCTGCAATTTCAGCAGTCTTGTACTGAACTGTCTCTGAAACACCAATACTTTCACTGTTTATTGAACCGGCAATGGCATCTGCATTTTGCAAAACTCCTGTTTCATTTTCGTCTTCTGAATAACTATCTTCATTATAATTCTCTGAGTAAAAATTATGCACATATGTTACCTTTGTCATCAAACAACCACTATACTAAAATGATGTGATTGAATTCTTCAGTTAGTAATCTAATAATGTAGATCTGATTTTTAGATGTTATATTTCTCCAACCAGCTGCAATTTTCAACATTCATTATCATACACATAAGAACATTATAAATATTTACAATGCGATGCAAGCGAATGTGCAGTCACTTATTTCCGCAACATTCAGGTTTGTCGGGCAAAACATTCAGTTCTGGTTTTACTGATCTGACAAGATTTGGGTGGAATAGGCAGCGAATGTCTTTTTACATCCAGCCACCCCACAGGGATTACATCTCTCCGATTACTCCTCCTTCACAAGATGAAGGAAAAAAAATTACAGACATGATGTCACGTATGTGACATCTGTATCCATTCTGATCCAACTCAGCAGGGTATCCGTCTCTAGGATCTCCTGCTGAGACAGAACAGAGGGTGTCCTGCAATACCACAGTGCTGTCATGGGGTAAAAGGAGCCCGTCTGAAAATTCTCATCCAAACAGCGACTGCATCCGATCATATAAGCGGGCTGTTCGGGTATTCAGCAGCCATAAGTGGGGATTCCTCCATCCATGCTGTTTACCATGGATGGGGGGAACTGATGGATTTCCCTTGTTCAGTCCATAGGGTGAACAAGAGAAATTCAAAGTATGTATTGACAATTTAAATCAAAGTTCGGTCAGGCCACTTTCTGCATAAAGTGTACATGTTCTCCCTGTGCTTATATGGGTTTCTTCTGGGTACTCCAGTTTCCCTTCACACTCCAAAGACAAGCTGACAGCTTTAAGTGGGTATTGTCTAAATTGACCCTGTATGTGTGCATGTGGGATCAGGACCTTAGATTGTAAGCTCCTTGGGTCAGGGAGTGACCTGAATGAATAGTATGTGACCTGAATGAATAGTATGTAAAGCAATGCATAACTTGACAGCACTATTTCTAAATACCTATAATAAATTCAAACAAATGCTGAGCGGAAAAAAAAACCCAGTCCTGCTGTGGGAGAATGGCAATGCTACCTGCCAATGTATTTTCTGATGGATACCATTTAAAACCTCAATACTAGCTCATCTGACAAGAGGTACAGTGCTGCTCAGTATCGGCGTGGAATTACAATGCTCAGACTTGTATAGCAGGCAGAAGCTCCTTTTCTCTCCGCTATACAAGATCTGTGTATGAGAAGACACATTTCTGACTCTGCAGATCATGCTCACCTAGTGCCGCCGGGGTCAGGGATAGAGAAAACACTCCGAAGGTGATGACAGCCCGCAGATACAGGTGAGACACATCCATATTCCACACTACAGCACTCTATCCATACATCTCTGTCTTCTGCTTCCCGAACATCCATCACAAATGTCTTCCGGGTCCCCCAGGAGCAAGGCATCCGCCCCAACATTCTGAGGAGAACCGAAAAAATAGGACGTTGTCTTCAGGTGTAGCCATTTTGTTGAAGCCTGACGCCGGTGTTCTAAAAAAAGTACTTATAAAAAATATATAACATACATACACATATATATATATAT